CCCCAGAAGTTCCGATTTTGTGCTCCGCGGCTCTGTCACTTGCCGGTGGTGGCCAACGGAGGCCCCCTCCCTCACCATCTATCCTCCTGAATATCACCTCGGATTCACTTCTCCGCAAGTCCTACCTTCCAGAAAGTGGTCGCTTTTCTGTTCAGAGAGTTGTTGCTATTCTTTTCTTCAATCTCCTGTTGAGTTCCTAGGTGTTCAGAATGGTTTGATCCCTATTCAGCTGGATTCCTGAGACCAGACGAAATCCAGGTCTCCTCCTCCTCCGCCATCTTGCTGCGCCCCTATAGTCTTTCTTTTTTTAACAGCTTAGGCAGTGGTGTGATGGCAGATGCTTAACAGTGAGCTCTCTGGGGAGGGGGAGTGGAGTCTGATTTGTAGCATTTACTGATTTCTGCTGTGTCAATACTCCTACCTAGATTTCAAGATAAAATGCAGGACACCCAGTTAAATCTGAACTTCAGATAAACAGGGAATCATTTTTGATATAAATATGTCCCAAATATTGCATGGAACATGCTTATATTTAAAAAGTATTTGCTGTTTATCTGAAATTCAAATTTAACTGGTTGTCCTGTATTTTTACTTGCTAAATCTGGCAACCTTGCTCCCACCAACATGTCATTGAATGCAATTTGGGAAGAGACGTTCATAATCAACTTGTTTTAAAATAACTTCTATTAAAATATAATTCACACATTACACAATTCACCCATTTAAACGGATAGTTCATCAGTTTTAATATATTCAGATTTGTGCATCTGCCACCACAACCCTCAATTTTCAAACATTTTCATCACCCCAAAATGAAACCTTGTACTTATTAACATTCACTAACCTCCAACCATCTCCTTATCCCTGTCCTAGGCAACTGCTAATCTATTTTCCATCTTTATAGATTTGCCTCTTCTGGACATGTCACATAAATGGAATCACACAATATGCTGTGTGTGTGTGTGTGTGTGTGTGTGTGTTTTCACTTAGCACATGTTTTCAAGGTCCATATGGTGTTGTAGCATATATCAATACTTCATTTCTTTGTATTCCTGAATAATATTTCATTGTATAGATATACAACATTTATTTATCCATTTATCAGTTGATGAACATTGATTGTTTCCACTTTGGGGCAATTATGAGTAATGCTGCCGAAACAATCAGCTCTTGTGAACTGTAAGAGCCAGTACAAGGCAGCTCTAGTATCCCCCCCACCCCAGTTTGAGGTGTGTTTCTTAGAGATGGCATAGGGTGCCATATTATAATTGCCTACTAACCTATCTCTGTCTCTCTCTAGCTGATCAGCTACACAAAAAGAAGGATTTTGTTCACTACTGTACTTACATTTCTAATGCAATTGCCTAATACTTGATGTTTAATTAATATTGTATGCGTGAATGAAGTACAGTATGGTGATTAAGAATGAAGAGTTTTTGAATCCTTTAAATCTCAGCTATGCCACCTATGTAAATGCGGAAAAGCTTGCACGTTATTTAACTTTTCTTTTTTTTTTTTAAGATTTTATTTATTTGACAGAGAGAGACACAGCGAGAGAGGGAACACAGCAGGGGGAGCGGGAGAGGGAGAAGCAGGCTTCCCGCTGAGCAGGGAGCCCGATGCGGGGCTCGATCCCAGGACCCTGGGATCATGACCTGAGCCAAAGGCAGACGCTTAACGACTCAGCCATCCAGGTGCCCCTATTTAACTTTTCTAAGACTTGGGCTTTTTCCTGGTAAGATGTGAAGGACATTAGCACCTCCTCTAATAGAATTTTGTGAGCATTTAGCATGTGCCAGCGGCACATTTTCAATACTCAATAACAGATAGTTACTGTTACTTGTGTTAGACATTGATAACCCACCTGATACGGTGATCTCCCAATTCATCAGCTACAGTAAGCCCATTCACAAAGTGCGACCTACTCTGGGGACTACCTTTGGATTTGTTATCATCCAAAGCTACTTCATTGCAGACAAACTAAACTCCCAAACCCAAATCCCACTCTCTGATAACCTTACTCAAGGAAATTGCATAACCAACAATGAGATCGTTCTTTTCAAAAAAAAAAAAAAAAGCCAATTTAGGAAGAAAATACTGTCTAGTTGTCATATGCATTTCTGTTCTGATTAACAAGGTAGAATGTTTTCAGTTGATTGGAAATATGCATTTCTTTTGTGACTTTTCATGTCTTTTGCTCATTTACTACTAGTATGCTAATCTCTGTCCTTTGGATTTATAGGAGCACTTTATATATTAGGAATATTAATCCTTTGTCCAGAATATATTTTATAATTGATTTTTCCAACTTTGCCTTCATCTTTTAGCTTTTCATGATACTTTTAAATATACAGAACTTTTTTTATTTCTAGGAAGTCAAAAATATCAATCTTTCCTACTGAAGTTATATGACTTAGAATGTGAAATTCCCACATATTTTTACTCTCTGCCCACCCTGTGAAAACCACTGGTAACGATTTAGTATATCCCCAAAACACATGTATTTATATTCAATGTATATCACCAACTATCTACTCTTTTCCATTCCTAATGCTGCCAACTGGTCTAGGCCACCATTATTTCTTGCTGCTCTTCCTCTCCTTCCTCTCTAAATCATTGTTCATATCACAGTCAGAATGGTCATATTTAGGGGCGCCTGGGTGGCTCAGTCGTTAAGCGTCGGCCTTCGGCTCAGGTCATGATCCCAGGGTCCTGGGATCGAGCCCCACATGGGGCTCCCTGCTCAGCGGGAAGCCTGTTTCTCCCTCTCCCACTCCGCCTGCTTGTGTTCCCTCTCTCACTGTGTCTCTCTCTGTCAAATAAATAAATAAAATCTTTAAAAAAATGGTCATATTTAAACATAAATGACTCTTTTCTAAACATACACTAGCCTACAGGTCATTAACATACAGTGCATCCATACTATTCAGCTCTCCACTCTATTCTCACTTAACAATTTATGTTGAACTTCTCTGTCTTCCAATGTTGCATGGGACATACTTAAGTTTTTTAAAAAAGATTTCCTTGTTTATCTGAAATTCAAATTTAACTGGGCATCCTGTATTTTTATTTACTAAATCTTGTGGCCCTATTCCTGTCATACATAGGTCCAAGGTGGCTGTTGCAACTGTAGTTTTCTTTCAGCCATGGGAAGGAGGAGCGTATCTCTAATTCTATTAAGGACAGAACCTGGAAATGTCACATATTTCTACTTTTATCACAGGGCCTCATGGAGCTTCTAGGGAGGCTAGGAAATGGAGTATTTGGCGGGGCAGGTAGTTGGCCAGTTAAAACCTTATTTCCGTGGAAGAACAGAAAAATGGTCATTATGGAACAACTAGGGGTCTGACACAGATATGAATCCCTCCATCACCAGATACAGTCACTAGAGGTACCCAATCCACTTCCCCATTCCAACCCACGGATGGGCATGTGACCCAAACGGGGCCACTCAGCCACGCTGTCTCTGAAACTGAAATCTTGAGCAAAGTGATACAGAGATTTCAAATAATTCAAGTCCATTCATCCTGACTGTAGTAACCTGAGGAATTTAAACATTATGATTTTATGTTACTTAGATCTCTACTAGAGTGTTTCTGGTTCCTGAGCTTGCCCTAAGTCTGCCTTCCCAGATCCAGATTGTCCTTGTATGCTGTAAGATTTCTTTTTTTCTGTCTTAAGTTATTCAGAATTGTTTTCTGTGACTTGCAATCATAGAACTCCAACTGATCAAAGGTTAAGTCCGGATGGATTCCAAGGTGAGGAGATATAAAACCAGTTCCCCACCCCTGAGGATTTCTGCCTAAGCACATTTCATGTCAGCATTGCAGTTTTCAGACTGAAAAGTAACAAGGCAACTATAATATCAAAGATAGTAGGTTAAACAGAGAGAGAAGTGAACATGAAATCTGATTAAGCTAATATTAGCACTTACTCTGTGCCTCCTTGCAGACATTACTGATTTCTCTAATACTTGCAGCAACTCTGTGCTTTGTTAAGTTTTATATGTATTATCTCATTAAATCCTTGCAGCAACAATAATAGGCATTGTTATTATTCCCACTTTGGCAGATGGGGAAAATGGGGCTTAGGAAGTTAAGTGGCTCGCCTAAGGTCACATAACTGATAACAGTTGTAGCCAGTATTCAAAACTAAGTTTAACTCCTACACTTGAACTTTTTACCATTCTCCTACACCACAGACCTTAAAAAAATAAAAATAAAAATATTTGATATCTAAACAGCTTTTTAATTTAATTTTTCATTTTTTAACTTTTTATCATAGAAAAAAAATTTTAAGACTTATCTATTTGTTTTAGAGAGAGAGAAAACACAAGCAGGGGGAAGGGCAGAGGGAAGAGAGAGAGAGAGAGAAGCAGACTTCCCACTGAGTGGGGAGCCCAACTTGAGGCTCCATCCCAGGACCCCCAAGATCATGACCTGAGCTGAAATCAAGAGTCAGACAATTAACTGAGCCACCCAGGCGCCCCATAGGAAGTTGTACATATACAAAAATAGAATAGTACAATGAAGCATTCGTGTACCCATCACCTAGCTTCAACAATTATTCCCATTCTACTATTCTTTTTTCATTGATCTTCTCCTCAAATTCACACTTTATTTTCTCTTATCCTACAGTATTTAAAAACGAATCCCAGACATCATATCTCATCACTTATAAATACCTTAGAATGTTTCTCTAGGGCATGAGAACTTACAAGAAAAAAAGCATAATAGCATTATCATGCCCTCCCAAATTCATAAAAATTCCTTAATATATTTAATATCCAATGCAAGTTCAACTTTCCCTGATTGTCTCAGAAATATCTTTTTATAGTTGTTCTAATGAAAATTCCAACACAGTGCACACATTACATATTTAGACATTCTCTTAGGTTTCTTTTAACTTATGACAATTCCCCTTCTCTTTTTTCTTTTAAGCCATGTATTTGTTGAAGAGAAAAGGGATTTTGTCCTGTGGGATTTTTTTTTTCCTTTTCACATCAGATGAGTAAGGTGCCAATTATGTCGTGACAAGATTTGAGGGAGGCACATTTCACACGGTGGCTGAACACCCAATCATCACACTTGTGAACAACAAAAGGTTCTGTCCTGTGGCATTTCTAATATTCTGGAGTTGGCTGATGGCATCCTCCTGGTGTCATTAACAAGTTCTTCCATCTCCCATCTTTCCCATAATCTGCTAGTTAGTTCAAGAGGCTTGATTAAATTCAGGTTCAAAATTAATTTTTTTTGTTTTGGAAAGAATACTCCATAGGTGGTGTAATAATTACTTTTTAAATAAATGGTGTAACTGCTCTATTAAATGTGCTGAGTTAGTAATTATAATCAGTAAACAGCTTTTCTCCCACCTCTGCCTTTATTTTATTTTTAAAATTTTATTTATTTATTTTTTTTAGAGAGAGAGAGAGAGAGAGAGAGGGCACAAGCTGGGGGGAGGGGCAAAGGAAGAGAAAGAGAGAGAATCTTAAGTAGGCTCCATGCTCAGCACAGAGCCTGACTCAGGGCTCAGTCTCACGGGGATGGATCTCACAACCCTGAGCTGAAATCAAGAGTCAGACACTTGAGGGACGCCTGGGTGACTCAGTTGGTTAAGCGACTGCCTTCAGCTCAGGTCACGGTCCTGGAGTCCCGGGATCGAGTCCCACATTGGGCTCCCTGCTCGGCGGGGAGTCTTCTTCTCCCTCTGACCCTCTTCCCTCTCGTGCTCTCTCTCTCTCATTCTCTCTCTCTCTCAAATAAATAAATAAAATCTTAAAAAAAAAAGAGTTGGACACTTGACTGAGTCCAGGCACCCTATTTTATTTAATTTTTAATTTTTTCAGTAATCTCTACACCCAACATGGGACTCGAACTTACAACCCCAAAATCAAGAGTCGCAGGCTCAACTGATTGAGTCAGCACAGTGCCCCCTCCCCTCCCACCTCTGCTTTTTTTTTTTTTGGTCAAAGAGAATGAGAGAGCGAGAGCACAAGCAGGGGAAGTGGCAGGCAGAGGGAGAAGCTGGCTCCCTGCTGCGCACGCAGCCAGATGTAGGGCTCAATCCCAGGACCCTGAGATCAGGGCCCCAGCCAAAAGCAGACACTTAACCCAGTGAGCCACCCAGGGGTCCCTCACCTCTGCCTTTTTAAACAAGATCTCCCTTCTCTGCCCCCCAGTGACATTTCAGGCAGGTCCCTTACCTTTAGGGTCACTTCCAGATGTGAGAAGAGTCTCATTTTCAGCTATGGAAAATTTCAGTCCAACCTAAATTCACTTTAATTTTTCATCAAATTCAAAATCTCCCTGTTTCTCTCATTATGGCATGGCCCGTCCTTTTATCTCATTTGGTAGACAGTCTCTACCTTGTCCCCTTGGTCCATGGGAAACATTGTGCATTCTTGCCCAGCTGAATCCTAGAACGCTGTGTCTGCCTCCAGCCACTAGGATAGTAGCCCTGTCTTCCACTCCTGTAGCAGCACAGGGCAGGTGTGCCCATTCTTCCAGTGCTGCAAGCACCTGGCCAGGGAGTGAGAGTCCCGCATTCCGTTCCGGCTAGCTAGCGCTCCCAGTTCTCCAAGGGGCACTCTCACTGCCTCCTTCTCTTGGCTCTGGTAGGAGGAGCAATGTCCCAGGCGCACAGGGAAGAAATGCTACTGGGCTCTCTCCTCTTGTGAAGTCCCCCTAAAGATACATCTGCCCAACTGAATCTTTGGCCTTCTCTGCTAATGGCTGTGGGGGAGACGGTTGCTGGACTGGAACGTCCGTTTCACAGTAAGGCCTGTGTACATGTTTTGAGAACCCATCTTTAAAACGTGGGGCTACTTCTCACTCATCATCTATGCCCCTGAGGCTGTATCTTCAATTCTTATCAACAGGAAAATTTCTGTCTACATCCATACAATCTATTAAGATTTACCCTCAACTTCACTTTATAAAGTAGTTTTGCTAAACATATAGAATCCTACTTTATTTTAAACTAAATGATTTAGGGGCACCTGGGTGGCTCAGTCAGTTAAGCGTCCAACTCTTGATTTTGGCTCAGGTCATGATCTCAGGGTTGTGAGATCGAGCCCCACCTCGGGCTCCCGACTGGGCATGGAGCCTGCTTCAGATTCTTCCTCTCCTTCTTCCTCTGCCCCTTCTCACCCCTGCCCCGCCCATCAAAAAAAAAAATACTATAAAATGAATGATTTAGATAAACCCTAATTTAAATAATACTCTTCAGGATATTTTTTTTCTTGTGTCAACGGGATGTGGGTGAACATCAGGCACAAGTGCCAACAAATGTTTGTCTTCTGTCCTTACTCAAGAAGACCCGGGTGTTGTACTAAATACCAAAAATAACAAAGCAAGGAAGGGGCAAGAGCAGAGGACGAGGAAGCAGACCAAGAGTGACACATCAGCCAGTCTTGTTTGATATGTCATGCGCAGAACTATGTACTTGTTGGAGTCCCATTTTTGTTAGATAGAACCTACAAGCATTTTAACTGATGTGTTAGGTTTATGGGGATTTTTTTTAAATTAGTGGGTTTAATTACAATTGCTGGGTGGAGAACTGCTTATTCCAGCCTTCACTAGAATTAGAATTAGGAAATAAAAAGGCGTACTGACTCACCAAAGAGTCAGCTGAGCACATTTTTATTCTGCTCTCAAAGTAGGAGCAAACCATAAAGTAACCAAGACTGCATGGTGGTGAATCAGTGTCCATGGATGAGTGTGTGTGTGTGTGTGTGTGTGTGTGTGTGTGTGTGTGTGTGTAGAGGCAACTCTGTTACATCAAATTGGCTGCAATAAGGAGTTTAAACATGAATGAGAGGCTTCTGGAGGTGTACTGTAATGGGCCAATTTAATCACATTGCATCACGTTAATCATGGGTATAGCTGGTTAAATATGCCTGAATCCAAGTATTAGATATTCAAAATGCGTGCACCTAGCAAAGCTCCAGGCTCATGTTAGGATCTTAATAAATGTTTGTGGAAGGAGGAAGGAAGGCAGGAAAACGGGAGGAAGGGGGGGAGGGAGGGAAAGACAGAGGGTGGGAAGTGAAAGTGGTTTTTATTACCTCATTTTAACAACTGAGTAAGCATCAGACATACAGTCTTTCCATAGTGTGCCCAGCATGGAATTTAGGCCTGATTGTGCAAAGGGAAAAAAAGTAAGAGTTTAATAAAAAAATCATGTTACAAGGGGCGCCTGGGTGGCTCAGTCGTTAAGCATCTGCCTTCGGCTCAGGTCGTGATCCCAGGGTCCTGGGATCGAGCCCCACATGGGGCTCCCTCCTCGGCAGGAAGCCTGCTTCCCCCTCTCCCACTCCGCCTGCTTGTGTGCTCTCTCTCTTGCTCTGTCTCTCTCTGTCAAATAAATAAAGAAAATCTTTAAAAAAAAAATCATGTTATGGTAACAGTTGAAAGCCTGACAGCACATGAGTTGGAGAAAGGAATACAAAATATTTGGGTTTCATGTTTTTGGTTTTAACTCTGGCATCACGAATTAACTTTGTAAGATACTTATCATTCCAGAATGTCAAGCCATTGATCTGTTCTCTTAAAAACACCCTTTTCCAAGCCATTTGAATTAAATTACAAATATATTTAAACACAAAGACACTACTAATGAATAGAAAGCAAATGTTCCATTAAGGAAAGTAACGTAGAATGCATTTTTACAGCAAACCTGATGGAACAGAATTTCAGGACAAAACAATGTATTAGTCATTCTTCCCAGTTCTGGGTCATGTGCCAATTTCATAATCATTCTTTCTGTCTTCATCCAAGTCTTGGATCCCGACTGCCTTCAGGGCAATAGCCACAGTCCTGTGGCACCCTCCCTAAAGGCCGCACCCCTCAGACTTTGCTCTCCTCCCTCCCTCCCTCCCTCTCTGCTTTGGCTACCTGGTGCTGTCTACCTCCCATTTCACCCTCTTTGGAGAACTCTTCAAGGACCTCAGGAGAGACCTTGTGAAATTGCCTCCTGGCCAAAGTAACTCCCCCTCGGGGTGTTCCTTTGGTACTTTCTACAACCCTCCAGGACTGCACTTTTTCCAGTGGTCATCACAGTTTTTATCCCTAGAACACAGGCTCCAAGTAAATACAGTCTGTACTCGTTTCTGAATCTTATCTGCTGTGTGCCAACACCGGTCCAACACCGGTCTGTGTTAGATTTTACATTTTGGAACTGAACAAAATAGATGTGGTCTTTAGATTTGGGAGGTATGCCATCTCCTGAGGGAGAGAGTGTTACATAAATCAACAGGAAAAACAGAAGAGTGAAATGTATGCTACGAAGCAAGAATCCAGGGTGCCAGGGGCCAGAACAGCAGGAGAGGCAGACTCTGACTGGGGGTTTAGCAAAGCTTCTCTGAAGAACCAGCGTTTAACTTGAGGCCCAACATGGCTAGGAGTGATTCGGGTGATTCAGGCTTGAGCGAGACGCAACCATGTGTGGCAAGTGCGGGGCCACTTGGGTTGGAATGGCCGGGCCAAGGACACAGGGATGAAAGAGAGTCCAGGGTCGAGAAGCCATGGAGCCTTCAGGGCAACATTAGGGATTTTGTATTTTATCCTAAGTGTAAACCATGGAAGGTTTAAGCAGGAGAGGAATGTGATTTGTGTACTTAAGTGCCTTGTGTTTAACTGGTCAGTATTGAATATTTACAAATAAACAAATGAATTAAATACACACAATGAATCAATGATACAGTTCTATGCCATTTCAGAGTTTTACCAACTCTGGGCAATTAGATGAATCTGGAACAGCTTGTTCTTAGGAAACATAAAGTGGGAACATGTTGACTTTCAGCCACTCACCATTCATTTCTCTCTACCAACCCTTCATTTTATTTTGGGTAACACATCTCCCCATTGTGTGTATTCTTGGTGGCCAGCTCTCCCTTGGCCAAGAGGCGGGTTCCAACGGAATCCCCCTCCTGGGACTTAGAGACTTTAGCAGAGTAACCAATAGGGGGAAATGTTTGGAGAAATTTGTTTTGGCCACGGCAGGTTCAAAAGCATGTATTTCAGGTTCTCCTGTGCCCCCCACGCCGCCCCCCGCCAGCTTCCCTGGTTCTTGTCCTGGTTTCAAGCCTCAGTCTCTAGTCTCTCATT